GTTTGCTTAGTAATAAGGCAAAAAACAACAAAACACCTGGGCTTCCACTTGTACTTCCTTTGTTATATTTGTATGTCTACAGGTCATAAAATCTCAGTACTAAGGCATGTTTTACGATATTAAATGCACTGAAGATCAGAACATCACGAGATGATGCCTATAAAAAATACTCTAATGATGATTTTTTGTATAATTGTCTTCAATCATGCAGTCAAAACACCAAGTTCTCATATTTTACGTGACCTCGAGCAAAGTTGTGCCTTGTCACTAAACCACCAGAAAAGTACACTTCCTAGTTTTCCGCTTTACTGCACTTGTTTCTTTTGTGTTATTTCTATTCGCTTTTAGTTTTTTCTATCAATATTAACTTAACCAGTTTCACGTCAAGCAAAGAAGGAATATCTTGTTTAACCCGTAAGTACTTCGTTGATTTTTGGTGGGGTCACAAACTCAGACGTTGTTTTTTTTTGTTTTTTTCTTAGAAAACGGGTAATTTGTTTGAAAAGGCTTACTAATGTTTTTAAAAGCTTCAAATAACGTATGAGAATATAAAAAGGCGCAAAATTATCACAGAAACTAGCTATCAACAAAATAAAATTACTTGGGGTCATATAAATCTCCTCCCTTCCCCCCAGCTTAGGAACTAAGGGCAAACCCAACCTAATCTCGTTTCGTATTGATGTGGAGCTACCAGGGTATGGTACAATGGATAGAACATTCATATCGCAGCGGTTTTATGTTTTAACAATTTTAGAATTAAAGGCTTGTGTATTAGTAAAGAGTCCATTTTCACTTACAAACCCAATGTAATAGTAAAACAAGTTGAAACGTGTATTTAAAATATGCCCGGAAAACTACCTAAAAGTTGCTACATACTAGAAAGCGTGCTGCATATAACAGCGCAGTTTACATAGCTTATGTTATTATTTTATTGTAAGTTTCGAATCGCCATATGGGACATGACAACAGTAGTTATTACATATTCTGTGAGAACATCCAATAAAGTTATTACATAAAAGCTGAATGTCCATCATATGACAGGAAATAATGGTTAATTTTTCTTCTCAAAATTACATATAAATATTTTTTTATGAACATATTTTCTAAAAATGAATTATAATCTAGTAACAATATGTGTATGGAAAATAACTATTCTGGTTCTAGTATTTCACACACAAAAAATTTGCATATTTGTTCATCTCCTTATTTTTAAGTTATGTTCAAATTTTCTTAATGGTAAATTCTTATACGTTGAAACATCCGAAAAAATAATTCTCGAAAACGTATTCCTACTTGGTCAAATATTTGGCCCTACAAATTATTAATTGTGATGGTAAAGACAGCGAATTTTATTATGAATTTCGGTGTCTTCTCTTTGGATTGTCTTCCTGGTTTTGACTTTGTTAGCCTGCTGAGCTGAAGAAGCGTGTTAGACATTTTCAAAATTAAAATGTGCTGCGGGTAAGACATGCTGGTTATTATAGAGTTGTAGCCGAGGGTTCCGATTGGACAAAATTTAGTGATGTTGCTTCAATGTGTCTCGTTGACAATCAAGCAAACGTAATGCGGAATTTCAGCCATTGGTTATGATTTTTGTGCGCCAGAAATACTAAGCATGTGGCGCGCTCGTATACCCGATTCGATTTTATTTCTTATCACGATCTCTACCAACCTACCCTCAAATCTAATTATATGCCCAAAGTAGCGCATCATCCGTTTTGTGTAAGTTGCATGTTGATCGTACCGCAATGGCCAATGTGTCGGCGTGACAGACGGACGGCTTTTCATCTATATATAGCAGATTCTGTTGAGAGCATCTTGCAAAGCTGTTACATATTGTCTGAGAAGATCCAGCAAATTTATTACATATTCTGTGAGAACATCCAACACATTTATTACATATTCTGTGAAACTTATTACATATTTTGTGAAACTTATTACATATTCTGTGAGAAGATCCAACACATTTATTACATATTCTGTGAAACTTATTACATATTCTGTGAGAAGATCCAACACATTTATTACATATTCTGTGAGAACATCCAACACATTTATTACATATTTTGTGATAACATCCAACACATTTATTACATATGTGAGAACATCTAACAAAGTTATTGCATACGTGAGAGCATCCAACAAAGATATTACGTATTCTGTGAGAGCAAAGTTATTATATATATTCTATGAGAACATCCAACAAAGTTATTACATATTCTATGGGAACATCCAACAAAGTTATTATATATTCTATGAGAACATCCAACAAAGTTATTACATATTATCTGGGAACATCCAACAAAGTTATTACATATTATCTGAGAACATCCAACAAATATTATTATGTATTTTACTGAGGGCATCCAATAAAGGTTTATTTGAAGTGCGAGTTTTTATTTAAATAAAATTTTAAGTAGAATTTTTTCACTCACAAGTTGTTTGGTATGTGTGTTGTGGGTTTTTGTATAGCCCCGTGTTACTTTTTTATTGCCACTTTTGTTTTGGTGTAGGTTGGAAATTGTTGGTTTCTACTAGATGGCATAGTAAGACGGCATCATTTAAATTACATGTCAACCGTAAGTTGTTATTTGTTATTGCGCATAAAGCTACACAATGAGATATCTGTGCTCTGCCCACCATGGTATCGAAACCAGGTTTCTAGTGGTATAAGCCGCAGACATACCACTGTGCCACTGGGGGTCGCCAACCGTAAGTAAGCTGAACTTTAGTTTTGGGTGGAGGTATAGTTGGTAATCTTTATACACGTCACATTTGCTTGCAATAATGTATACGGTTTATTTTCATGTGTTTTGACATAGCTTATAACTGTACTGTACCTCGTTATGTCAGCAGTCAGTTCACAGACTTATAATGGTAAAATCTGGGGTTCGATTCTCCACAGTGGACTGAACGCAGATAGACAATTGAGTAGCTTTGTGCTAAAACACAACAATAACATATAACTGTAGTATTGATGTATCGTTGATGCATGGCTTCAAACGATTATTAATAATTAACATGTTACATCTACTAACGTCGTGAGATCATTACTGTAATGTTTTTTTTTCAATGTCTGTCGGTGGGACATGGTAAGTCTAAGGACTTACAACGAAATTCCCGAGATGTCCACATCAATGTCTGTCGGTGGGACATGGTAAGTCTAAGGACTTACAACGCAATTTCCCAAGGTGTCCACATCAGATAGATTAATGTGGCTTTGCTCTCAAACAAAATTATTTTCAATACACTTCTATAAATTATCGTTAACATTGGCATGCACATAAAGAAAAAAAATTCAATAAATATTGCTAGTACCATAAATGGCCCCAAAACTTCACTGTCTAAAAATACGTGCAGGGATTACTGCAGGGAAGTGTGATGTAAGGAAAACAAAGTGTGAAAAGATGTTTTGGGCTTTTGTTTTCTTAGTAGAAATCGTGATCAGCTACATCGTTTTTCTTCCTTTTTTTCTTTTGCAGTAAAATATGGTCTTATCTTACAAAGATTTCACAATAAGCGCAGAAGTTGTGAAAACAAGTCTTGCCTGCTGCTTGGAAATGCCTAAATATAACAATAGCTTCCGATCAGAGTAAGCTATGTTTTAGAGCGAAACTAAAAATCAACCAGGCCATCAGTGTAGCTAATTCAGTATAAATTTTCTCACATTTCTATTTATAAAGATTAGAATACATCGTTTCATCAATTGAGTCGCCTTGCAGTTAACGATATTTTCGGCCGTAATCCCAGTAATATCTCACGAGGTTCTGTTATCTTAAGAAATTTAGGTTAGTCCTAAATACAAATTCTATGTTAACAATATAAAACAATATTCATAATAAAATTATATTAATGAACGACAAATGAAAATAAAACATAATTACATTCAATATGCAAACTAGTTTAACTAATATTATTAATGAAAGCAACAATAAATAAACAAAATAGCATACTTTAAAGACAGAGCACTGATTGATATTGTGTCTTTTGTAGTATGGATGTAGTAAATAATTTGATTTTGGCAGACAGAATGCCCTTCTATTGTTGCATAGTAAACGGTTGGTAGCAATTTGCATTGATACATCTGTTCAAGTGGTTTATCGGACTTTTCAACTGTGGCCATCGCATAACTCAAATCAAGATTCATTCAACTTTTAAACATAATTATACTTAATCTTCAGTTACACGAAATTGCTTAGCGTAATCATCAAGACTTTTAGGTTGAGTTTTTATTTGTTTGTTTGTTTTTAATTATGCGCAAAGCTACACAAGGGCTATCTGTGCTCTGCACACCACGGGTATCGAAACTCGGTTTCTAGCGTTGTAAGTTCGCAGACATACCGCTGTGTCACTGGGGTGCAAGAGTTTATTTAATCAGATTTCCGAATTTATAAGGTTTATAACCAACATGATACATCGGAAGTTGATTTATATATACTAAAAGCGAATAAAATGGCGAATGCTTAGGGAATAAATTTCATGCAAAATTCACTGTATTCATGCTGCCTTCACGCGTCTGTGGCATTTCGACTTAGATCTTTCGGGTTATCGAGAATTGTGACTTCCAACTACCTCCCCCCCCCCACTCCCCCATGTTTTTATGTACCTCGAGAATAACAATATATTCTGAATTTGGCCTCTTAAAAGCTTCAATAGTCGTTTCTAAGGCAAGTATTATAAAGTTACTTGTAATATAGATGATTTTATATCACATAAGATTACTTATTAGATCTTAGATGCGTGCTTATTACTTAAAATTCTGTAGTGTGTATTTTACGCCTCTTGACGTATTTAGAAGAAGTAGGGCACAGTGTACGTGTTAGTGTAATATGACAGCTTTGTCTTATTTTGCTGTCTAATAACTATTGATTCTTAAACGGTACCTTAGCAACCGTTCTCATCAGTAACACGCGCTGTATATGATTAACAAATAACAAGTAAAGGCTCACTCTTACATGTCATGTTTGTGAACTTCCATTTTTTTTTCTTTCTTACCGTAGGAAACGAACTACCGTGGACCAGTGTTTGATTCATCCCTGGATACAGGTAGGTAAAGGAGCGTGTGTTATGTTGCCAAGATATTATTGTGTTCGATTCATCCCAAGATAGAGGTATGTAAAGAGAAGCGTGTATTATGTTCCTGGGTATTCTTGTGTTTGATTCATCCTAGGATAGAGGTATGTAAAGAGAAGCGTGTATTATGTTCCTGGGTATTCTTGTGTTTGATTCATCCCAGGATATAGGTATGTAAAGAGAAGCATGTATTATGTTCCTGGGTATTCTTGTGTTTGATTCATCCTAGGATAGAGGTATGTAAAGAAAAGCGTGTATTATGTTCCTGGGTATTCTTGTGTTTGATTCATCCTAGGATAGAGGTATGTAAAAGAGAAGCGTGTATTATGTTACCTGGGTATTCTCGTGTTTGATTCGTCCCAGGATATAGGTATGTAAAGAAACGTGTATTATATTACCTGGATATTCGTGTTTGATTCACTCCTTGATACAAGTAGTGATGGAGTGTGTGTTATGTTGCCAAGATATTTTTGTCTTGATTCATCCCTTGATAGAAATATGTAAAGGAGCGTGTGTTACTTTGCCAACATATTCTTGTTTGATTCAATTAGTGAATACAATTAGTGAAGGAGTGTATGTTAGTTATATTACCAAGATATTTTTAAAGCACTGAAGATTTAAACTAGAATAAAATAAATTATCTCTCTTGCCGCTGTCATCAAATTTAAGATATTACTATTAATACACTAATGTGGGTCTACGTTAGTTACGAAGTTTTAGTTACAATAATTAGTCGATAGTGTTGAAAATATTATGAATTAGGCTCATAATATAGAATATGATGTAAAACTAGTCACACGATATTGTGTCATGTATATAGCAGCTTGGGGTATTCGTATTCACTGAATGCTTACTGAATACTGAATATTGTAAGAGTAAATGTGAACTTTTGCACTCATGAAATTTCTAGACTGTCATTATTACATCCGCAGCACGTTAATTTCTCTTTCAGTACAAGCTTCGTTCCCACGGGAAAGTTTCCCGTGAAAACGAAGCTTGTACTGAAAGAGAAATTAACACTTTTCTATACAGAAACAACGTAATATAGTACGTCATTTGAGAGACAAAAACATTGGCTTTCTATTTATTATAAATAATATAGCATTGAACGTCAGAGAGAACTATTGACAGATCCTGAAGGAGAGTATTTGACAGTTGAATGTGTTAAGAGGCTTCTGATTTTGTATTTGATGGCTATGTAACCAAACAAAATTGAATGCTATGAAAATTATGCTTTGCCTGAGCGATGACAATCTTATAATGAGTAATTTACGTTAAATTTTATACTTCTTTGAAGGGTGGTAAATAAATTAGAGAAGAGGAGATACGTTCTAAAAAAAGTCACACTTCTCACACTAGAGGAAATTCAGGATTTTTTTTAAATATTGCTTATAAAATTAAGAAATTAAACTTATACACTGTTAAAATATGGACTATTAGCTACGATTTTTTGCTCTACTAATTTGTATATATCATGAACAAAAGGTAGTTTAATTAAATTTTAAATGTAACTTACTAAAAACATCGTGACATGCACAGTAAGGATGCTCGTAGCGAGAGGGTTAAATCAGGTCAATACACTCAAACCACCTTAAAAGTTATTATATTACATGGTTATTAATCCAGTCAAGTCATGTGAGATGGCTACTAAACCACTTTCAATGGTACAAGAACACTTTATACTTCCTACCACTAGATCTGGTCAGATCAAGGCAAAGTGTAAATATAGCCCATTGTATGGCTTTGTGCTTAATTACAAACAAACCAATATAAAACATATTCTATATTATATAATGAGATACGCGTATTTCTAGCGTAATCATGAGGCAGAGCTACAGAAGTCTACATCTGGCTCTGGTACTTCTGCCCAGGTGCAGCAGCCTACAATAGCAGCGTACTGCACATAATTAACTAAATATAAGTATACACATCCTCTTCAAAAGCACATCGCTAACAAACTCGTCAATTTTATTGCCAGTATACTACAACCCTTCTCAGTGTTGGAGTCAAAAGATTTTCAAGATCTAATGGCTGCCATGGATTCTCGGTATATTCTTCTCAGTCGCAAGCATCTGTCCACAATGTTGATCGAGAGCAGGTTTAATGAAGTCAAACAAAAAGTGATCTCTCTACTACAACTTGTACCCGACATCAATGTCACTGTGAATATCTGGAGTAGGAGACAAATGTGCAGCTTTCTTGGAATTATTGGTCATTTTATACTTAACTGGAAAATTCATACAGTCATACTGGGATGTCGACGTTTCAAGGAACGTCACACATCGGATGACATTGCAACTCAACATGATGCAATAATAAATATCTTTAACATCAAGAACAAGGTGTCATATGTGACACCTGATAACGAATCCAACATGATCAAGGCTTTCTACTTGCCTGGATTTCAATCGCAAGCACTACCTAGTGTGAACGATGATGATAACTCATCTACAGATAGTGAGTGACTCAGAAGATGAACTTTTGGATGAATCTAAATTGGCAAACAATTTATCGGAATTTCTTCCTGAACATGACCCCTGCTTTCCCACACGCTACAACTTCTGGTCAGGGATGGAATGGAAGAAACTGGACCACTACTGAAACTAATTTCCAAAGCATCAGCCATCTTGTCCCACATTCGAAAATCAACGCGAGGGGACAGAGTTCAGTCATGGACACCAACACGATGGAACTCAAAAATTAAATTGGTTAAGTCTTTATTGTAGATTCTCGAAGAGAAGTTGGATAATTTAGATACTGGTACATGGAAACTTACGTTTCATGATCGAACCATACTTGCAGATTTGGTGACAATACTTACACCTTTTGAAGAGACAACAGATTTCACCCAGGGTCAGACGATTGTTACCTCCAGTTATGCACTGTTTATGGGCTGATGACTGAGATTGACAGCATGCAGTCCAGATATAATTTCAATCTTGTCTCTGCACTGAAGAAATGTTCACGCTAGGCCGCCTCAATGATAAAAAATTTAAGATGATATTCATAAAGAACAATAGACAATAAATCTCCTTTAAAAAAATTTTCTAAAAGATTGTTATTGCATTTTGAAAACTAAAAGTATTGGAATGTTATTATTTGTTCAAATTTCGTTGTATCACTTTCTAAAATGTTTGTTTCATAAAATAAAAGCATTGAAATCTTAACGTCTGCTATTTTATCATTATTTCATATTACCTGAAAAGTATTCATGAATACATTCCTATGTATTCTTATTCATAAAAATATGAAGTATTCGTATTTATATTCGATTACTGATCTCCAGTACTCGCCCCATCTCCGATGTATAGAAAGAGTAAACTGCATTAATTAATCAAATAGGTTTCAGTTTTGAATGGTATTTTCAGCCTTATATACTCGAGTTACTGAAGTCAGTTTAGAAAAGTAGAGTTAAGCATACATCGATATATATAATAAGCACTAATGCGAAACTTTAATGTGTTTATTTGTTTAAATAACAATAAGCAAAAAGTAATTATTTCGACTAAAAAACTAAGTATTCGATTCGCACAGTATTATGCAATATCTTTGTTAATAATCATATAGTTGAAACCGGGTTTCGATACCTGTAGTGGGCAGAGCACAGATAACCCTTTGTATAACTTTGTGCTTAATTACAAACAACGACAACTCTCTTTTGTTCCCATTCTCTCTCTCTATTTTTCGCTCTCTGCTTACTGTAATTAGCATTAGGGTAGATGCCAGCCTTTTCCCGGAGAGGGTGCTGAGGTGGGGTCGTCAAAAAATGAATTTGCTACATTCTATATTTTGTGGACACACATACTGTATTATTTATAAAGTGAACCAACTTTAACAGTAAGCATTGTTCACTAGATGCAGGGGCTACAGGGGAGGCTAAGGCACCTTTTGGGTAGCTTTAACCCAGAAAGTCCATGCTCTTACCGCCACTCCTGGTAGGGCTTTCCTAATTAGCTAGCTGTCTGAGGAGCTATCAGGGAACAACTGGAATGCCAGCGTTTCACACATTAGCTTGAAGTTTCTTCACCTTTTAAGCTCCTTTCGAGGCCACTACTTTCAAATTATGTGTTCCATGGTTCGTGCCCTGTTCTGTAAAATATTTCTCTCTCCACACTTTGGACTTTGAAATTTTTATAAAATTTGAGCAGGCAGTTTGCTAGTTATCTTCACTTTAGTCTACCTCTTCATAATTATAGTTTAGAGCAGATTGTACTGATATGTTTAGTTTTGCGTGAATATCCAAAACATACATAGTTTTATTTTTTCTCGTTCCGTAAACAAATTGTAGGAATCTCCAAATTTTGCAGATTTAATATTTAAATCTCAGTTGTAGTTTCATCTGAAAATACAGAACGTTTTTGCATTTTTATTTTTAAGATAATTTCCAAACTATAATGACAGTGCCCCCCCCCCAGTGGCACAGAGGTATATCTGCGGATTTACAACGCTAGAATCTGGGTTTCGATACCCGTGGTGGGCAGAGCACAGATAGCCCATTGTGTAGCTTTGTGCTTAATTACAAACAAATAAATACTGATAGTGAAAACAACAATTCATCGACTATTTTCTCAACTGAAGCAATAGTATTTATAAATAAGACTAACACTGTGAGAGTGTCACAAAAAGAAACATTCCTTAATCACTGCAGCAAGTACGTTTAATATTAAAACGTTACAGAAATTTACGCTATCGGTATTACATATTATTTGTAACGGTTATGAAAACGTTTGTCCTTCAGGTGCTTCTTTTAGCATAGTGTGGTTTTATCCTTCAATCAGGTCAGAGGGGGGAGGCGATGAAAAGAGGATTTGTCCACTTTGATTTCTTACAGTCTTGTCTGACTTTTGTGCTGCGTTCACACTTAAAAACTACAAGCACAATCCTAGTCATTTGGGTCGCAATTGCGGCTCTCAAATGACTTGTAGTTAACCTTCTCGTTTTCATATGAGTGTTGCACCAGTAAGTACCACTTC